AGTTAAATTAAAAAAAATGTAATAAGGTAATATTAATAATTAATAAAATTAAAATCTTAAAAAAAAAATCTTAAAATCTTAGCTCTTAAATAATGAAATATCATTATAGATGTAACCCAATAATGTAAGAAATTTTTATAGTATTTTAAATTATTATAAGAAAGAAACAAAAAAAATGTTCTTAGAATTCATAAAATGAGGTCAATTCTGGTACACCAGACTAAACCTATCAACACATTCAACCATCAATTTATCGATGGAAACGTGAAAATAACAAGACCTCAAGGTCAAGTAATGTTTGTCTAGAAAATTTTATGCTATAAGTGATATTTGTTTCAGAACAGATTAATTTAACTTTAAATTAGCTAATTTTACAAAAGTAACGTTTCAAAAATGTATATTTTATTTTAGCAGGATTTTGAAAACTGAAAAATAATTTTTTCTAAAAAAGTTAAAAAATGGCTGTTTCGATTGGTTTTTCAGAAGAATCGACTAAAAATCATTCAAATTTCTATTTGAAATACTCCACAGTATTTTTTTTTCTGGAATTAGAAAATTTAATCCTTTAGCTTTCAATTGAATCTGGCGGAAAGCTTCAAAAAGGATTTTTCCATTATGAAAAATACATTTAAACCATAGGTATATGAATTTTTGGAGGTACCTAATTTTGCTTAAATGTTATTTTTGATGGATACGTTTTTTTTTTAATTAAACTAATTTTTATCTAGCTACATCTACCGGCCTGAATGAAATCTTGTGAAAAAAGTGTCCTTCTGCATCCCCTATGGGGAACTGTCATTAGATCCAATGTGCCTGACCGTTTGGCCACGTAGGACTTCTGGTCAAACAAAGCCTGCTGATCAACATGCTTCTGTATTTAACTTGTTACTTACCTCCTTTCCTAGCTCTTGTAGAGTATCACAACTCTATCCTTTTGGCAATTCGGATTACACTATTATCTATTCATATTTCTTTTGAGTCATCTATTAGAAAAGAACCTCCTGTTGACAGGACTTTCTGTTATCAGTGTACAGATTGAATTCATTTTGTGGTTTTATTTGAGATGCCCCTTGAAGTGATTTTCTTAACCTTCCTATTGAGAACCAAGTTACAGAGGTTTCTTCTTAGGTTAAAGCTGGCTTTGATGCTTTTGTACCTTCTAGCAAATATCAAGTGAAACCACAATCTTATTGGTTCACACTGGCCTGTTCAGCCACCATAGCCCACAAGAATCACTTTTTCTGAGTGTACTGGCATGAGAATTCTGATCACAATAGACACCTATTTGTGCTTGCTCCAAATAATTGTGAATGTGTCCTCAAAGAGGCCAGCCTTTAACAAATTTGGTTCACATGACTTTTGGCAGCTCTGTAATAGTGTTTTAAATAAGTCTTCTATTCCTCCTCTCTTCACTCAGTTTTAGGTGTTAACATCTGCTCATAAAGCAGAATGTTTTTCTTGTAAATTCTCTTGAAATTCTACTCTTGACTCATCTGGAGTATCTTTGCCTGACTTTCCATTTAAAGTCTTTATTGTGTAATATACATATAACTCCATCCATGCTTTCTGCTATAATCTCTAAACTGGATCGTCACAAAACATCTGAACTTGATAGTATCTCTGCAATAGTCCTTAAGAAATGTGCTCCTAAACTGGCTCCTGTTCTCTCTGCACTTTACAATAAGTGCCTTGTTGCTTCTTGCTTTCCTGCATGTTGGAAATCCTCTTGCTACAGTCTTTAAGAACTCAGGCAAAATGTCTGACCCTTCTAATTACTGGACTATTACCTTTCTACCTCTTTTGGGCAAAGCACTAGATGCTCTAATTACCTCTAAGTTGGTTAAGCATCTCACCTCACAGGGTCTTCTTTCAGATAAGCAATATGGCTTTTGTTTTTCTAGGTCAACTGCTGATCTATTAATGATTATTGCTGAAAGTGGCTATCAAGCTTCAGTTAAGAATGATGAAGCTTGGGCTGTTGTATTGGATATCTTGAATGTGTATGACAGGGTTTGGCATGCTGGTCTTCATAAGTTGATAGGTTATGGTATTTCTGGATGAATTTTTGAATTGATGCATTCTTCACTATTTACATTGTTTGGACTATTCTTTAACAAATGAAAGTGGTCTTGAATGGCCACTCTTCTAGTTTTTTTGTATTAATGCAGGTGTTTCCCAGGACTCTATCCTTGGACCTATGTTGTTTCTAATTTTCATCATTGACCTTCCTGATGTCATTAGTTCTCAATTCGATATCTATGCAGATGACAACTATTTACTTTGGTCTTAATAGTAAATCTGATTGGTTCGATAAGGTCAAATTGTCAGCTTATCTCAAAAATGGCCTACAATCTGTTGTTAAATGGGGCAAGGAGTGGCTTGTTAATTTTAACACCTACAAAACAAAACTGCTCTCTTAATTGTCTGTGAGAACCTTTATTACCTTCTATCAACATGGCTGATGCTAACCTCCAGGAGAGTGATACATTGCATCTTCTTGGACTAATGTTTTCTGCTGATATGGAGTGGAAAGAGTATAATGAATCAATTACTAAGTCTGCAGCTAGGAAAGTCGGTTCACCATGTCAAGCGAGACAATTTTTCTTGCCAGAATTTATCTTATATTTATAAAACTACCATTTGTCCTTACTTTGAATATTACTGTCAAATATGGTCTGGTGCTCCTGCTATACATTTGGAGATTCTTGATAAAATCCAAAGAAGAATCTACAATGTTATTGGTTTCAATCACTTTCCCACTGCCATAACAGTTTCCCTGTGACTTTTCTATAAATACTTTCATGGTAATTGTTCTGAATAATTGTCCGCTATGGTACCTAGACTCTATGAATTTAAGCAAAGTACTAGATTGGCAGCAAGGTCTTATCATTTTATAGTTGAAATGTCTAGATGTAACCATAAGTTCTATGCTAATAGTTTCTTATATCGCATTTCTTGCTTCCCATGTCAACTTTGAACTTCAAAAATTTAAAATGCAGTATATTTTTCTCATATTCTCCAACATTCAGTAACCCTTTCTGTCTTAGTGGTTTATTGTCTTGCTTTGGATGAAAGGATGAAAAAAAAAATAATAAATAAATAAAATTGATTTTTTTTTTGTAACTATTACAATTATTGTTTTTTTTTTCTTTAACTATTTGGTTTTTATTCTATATTCATTTTCATATTTAATATCATGAAATAAATAATTGCACCAAATAAGTTCTTTTTAATTATTTTAAAATTTATTAAAAGAATAAAAAACAGAGGAAAATTTTATGAAGATTTATAGAATTGATACTTTTAAATGATTGCCTTCACTGATTTTCTTTCAGCTAACAATGTCATAAAAAATTCTAGACACCTGCAAATGTCATGCATAATTATTGTTAATCATATAGAGTCCATAGAGAGAATTCAGAATTGTTGAATTATTTACTATTTGATCTTCCATACAAAATACAATTTAACAGTTGCAAAAAGAAAAATATTTAAAAAAATATTTCAATTGTAAATGTCATCAAACTTTATACTTTTTGATTCTTCAAACACATCTTTATTTAATAAAAAAAAGAATTTGAAAGAAAATAAAGCAAGTACCAACTCTCCACAAATATTCTTTGCACTTTATTGAATTAATTTTATAAGGTTTCAGGACAAATATTCAAGATGTTCACATTTGATACTGCAAAAATATTTTACTGAAATTATCTTTAATGAGTTTACTTTATAAACTAATAAAAATATTCACCATCACTCCACCTTAAAAGGGTTCCCAATGCATTGAAATTGGGAATAGGGTTAACTGACAAAAAAAAAAAAAAATTCAAACATTTTCTACTAAAATAACCTCAAGAAAATTCAAAATTGTTTTTCGTCAAGACTTGCTGATGACCAATGATAAAATATACTGTATAAATTTTGCTTACACAGGAAATGCTTTCTTTGATCCATATTTGTGAAACATTTATTTACAGTATGATTTTACAAATCTAAGATCTTGGTCATTGCTGATAAACTTGATATAACAAAGATGTGCTTGAAGAATAAATTGATTCAAAGTACTGAAGCTCTAAAAAAAAAAAAAACAACAAAAAAACACGTTACCATCAAATTTAGATTTTTAAAACTACATTTTGAAAAGATTTCACTGAATTATAAGAATTATACAATGTTAAGATAATTCTACTTTTAAATGATACCAATTTTGACCAACACATTGAATTACAAATAAAAGCAATGATAACCGGTTAAAACAAATTTTAACAGATTGAAATATAGCTACACATTTTTATAATGATAATATATTGTAATATTTAATTGAAGTAGCTCTCATGTAAAGATTTTTGAATATGTTAAAAAAAAAAAAAAGACATATGAAAAGGGAACAACACACACACTTTTTAAAATGGCAGGCTCCTCCTTAAAAAAAAAAAAAAAAAAAATCTAAAATTTTAAATTTGCAGACATCATAGAAAAATGGATTACAAAATATAAAAACAAAGAATTTTCAACCAATCACTTTTGTTTTGAGTAAATTTAAAACCTTCAAATTTATATCCATTGGAAACTTAAATACAAGACTTTGTAGCAGGGCATTCACAGTCAACTCAAAAATACTAGTTTGTGTACAAAAATCTGTCAAGTGACTCCCTTTCTCTATAGAGATAAGTGAAGCAGTTAGAGATCAAAAGATGACTGACAAATGAAACTACACACCAACTTCTCTAGTTAATATCCTTAAATTTCTGTAAACTAATGTTATTCACTAAAATGTATGAACTTCTTGATCTATTTCTGTGAACTTTCCAAATAAGATTATTTACTATGAAAAGATATATCCACAAAAATCAACTTACATACACATTTACATACAAAAATGTAAATTAATTGCAATTTAAAATTTACTATGTTAATTATTACCATGAGTAATTACCAATGCTATTATAGTTCATTATTCATTCCTAGCATTTTAAATAACAAATTTTCTAAAAACTTACTGGAGTCCGGCTCCCATCAGGGGCTGCAATATAGCTGGACCCTAAAAGAATAACATTAAAAGATAGAGTTAAAAAAATAAAGCGAGAACTCAATTTAAGCAACTGTTTAAGCATAAAATAGCAAAATTCAAATGACACTAATATTGATGTTTCAGACAAATGTTCAATAATAAGACAAGGTTACTACTGCCTTTAATTTTCTATTCCTTTTAAGGCCAATGAAAACCTTCCCTAAGAAACTTTGGTAATGTAGCCACAAAAAGAATGATGTGTCAAAGACAGTTATTCCTTTGACACTAACTATTACTGTATATGCTTTTGACTCCCTTGGCAATCTTTATTGTTTTAAAAAGCAATGATTAAAATTTTAATAACATCTAAACATATGAAAGTGGATTTATACATTTTCTTTATTCTTAAGAATTGACAAAGACATTACACACTATTCATTTATTAGATTGTTTATTTACAAGAATAATTCTATATTTGCAAGAGAATAAAAATAATGTTAACCAACTAGAATGAAAAATAATGTTTTCATAATTATTCATAAAATGGTAAATAAATATTGCATTGTAGTTGGTTTACATATTTTGATAATTTTGTGATATTTTAATAAATTTTTGAACAGAAAGATTACTTTTCAAATTTATTTCTTTATAAAAAAGGTAAATAGATATTGGATTGTACTTGGTTCATATATTTTCATGATCTTGTAAATAAACATTGCCAAAAAGGTCAAAAATGTGTACAGTAGTAGCAGTGTCAAAGGAATAAGCATCTTTTTGACACACAATTTTTTTTTTTTTAGTGGGCTCAAAGGTTAAACAGTGGCAAATAATTTTCAGTGCTTTGGGGAAAAAAAGAAAAAGGAAAAATTGATATGTCAAAATTTTCTTCTATCATCTTTATGTGCTGTGTCCTTTCAGGATGTTAGGCATTCATGGTCCTCCACAATTTCCTATCATTTGTAGCTCTTAATAAAGTTTGTCTTTTTGTTATTTCTCCCAAAACATGTTCTGCCATCCATTTACTCAAACTCATCAAGTATTCTATGTGTTGTTTTCCTCTTGCTCTCAGTCTGTCCTGTGAGTATCAGATTTTCCAAGCTCTCCTTCCGCATTATATACCCCAGAAACTTCAACTGTTTTCCTGCTGTTAAATTTCTTTTTTGTTTCCATTTTCTCTAAAACCTTGTTATTGCTCACATTTTCAGTTCATGGTATCCTTAGCATCCTTCTGTAGAGCCACGTTGCTTCAAGATTGTCCTGCATGCACTGTTATATAAGAAGACAGATATCATGTAACAGCTTAGTACTTTGTTTTAAAGAAGTTTTTTTTTCTGTTTTTTAGTACTCTGCTTAGCATTTGGAATGCATCTTTGGCTATCCCAGTGTGTGTCTTCAGAGTTCAGGGTTGTACTTTCTGTCCTATTAAAACATTTCCCAGATATTTAAATTTTTGTACTTGTTTGATTTTGGTATCTCTGATTTGTAATTTTCATTTTGGGTTCATCCTTTTGCAAACAACCATATATTGTGTATTCTTGCAGTTTATATTTAATCCTTTCTTCTCACTTTCTTTCACTAACTTCTGTAAGAGCTTTTGTCTGCTATCAACACCCATCTGCATATCTTACATTAAGAGTGTGGCTGCCAGTAATGGATCCTGGTTGGACTTCTAATTCTCTCAGAATTGCCTTGCTGTATAGGTTGAATAAGAAAGAGGTAAAGGAGTCTAAGAAAATGTTTTCTCACCAGACTATTTTTCTATATCTGCTGAACTGATTTTCTATTCATATGCAGGCAGTTTGCTAACAGTATAGATTTTTGATTGTGACACTATTTAGCTATGGTAATTGGTTAACTAATTAACCATAGAAATTAAAAATGGGAAATACTTAAGGCGAGAAAGAGCTATATTGAAAGATAGACTGAGCAACATTAAAAAGAAGAATTTATTTTATTTACAAAAGAAAGATACTTTTCACAAAGGACAGAAAATCCATAAGAAAAAGCGAGATTGTGATTCTGTCAAAATTAATTAATGTCATGATAACGGAGTGACGTGCCAATCGAAACAGAATTCTGAAAGAAAAACAAAGCTGACCAACACATGCAGCCATGGAGAAAATTTGGCTTGGGACCACCATGGAGAGTAGGTGTTAATTATCTTTCAGAGATACCATTTAACTTCAATTCCTGGTTCCAGCGAGGGAAGCCATCTGGTATATGCACAAATCTTGACATGAAAAGGAAAATCGAAAAGGGGATCACTATTATTGCTTATTCAAACTGTTGACGTCAGACACAGCGTCTCGAAAATGAGCATCTGGTGATAAGAGAATTTTAAGACATGAGAAAAATAAAGAATTTAATTGTTGGGTGGGCATGGCCACCCAGTTGAAGGTTGACTGGCAGAGAACCCAAGGGTCTGTTTTTTTTTTTTGACAATGATTAATGAGTCAGTAGGGGTCTGAGCTAAGTGGATTTGGGATGTGATAAAGAATTAATTGGTAATCTGGGATTTGTAAATGTTTTGGTAGAAGGAAAAGGAAAAAAAAGGATTTTGTAAACAAAATTCTGGAATAATTCTAAGAGGGCCAATCTAGCCACACCCACACTGCCGAGAGATCATTGGCTAAGTGGTAGCATGGTTGATAGGCGGAGGTGAATGTATGAGAAAGACGGAGAAGTTGTTAACGCCCACTGAGGGGATTGGTATGAGATACCAATGTGAGAGAAGAAGAGTCTAGGAGGATAAGTCTCCTCTTACCTTCCCTCACGGACAAGGGAGGAACCCCAAAGTGGAAAGTGATTAATCTTCCAAAAATGGAAAGTAATTAATTTTCCTGGCCTAAGAACAAAGAGAATTCTTGTTGGGAATTGAGAATTGTCAAGGAACCCAAACCATGACAGGCCCTCACACCGGAGTTGGTTGGTGTCCATATAAACGAATGCCTTGAAGCAGCTTGAGAGTTTTCAACAGAGTTTCAAGAGAGAGTAGCAGTTGGAGACCAGCCTCGCAGAAGCTGACCGAAAGATTTCCATGTCCTCTTGACTTAGTTTCCTACCAAAAGCAGGTTTTTATTGACGAACGACTTAAGATACCATAACTCACTTAAGAAATGCAAAAAGTGTCACGAATCCATAGAAGCAGGTTAGAAGAGAAACATATTCTTGTATTCAACAGATAGATAAAGATAATTGTTATTTCTCAACATATTTGAACCCCTTGAATTTGTTTTATTATTATATTTTTTTTTTTTTTTACTCGCGCTTGTGCGGTATCACCTTTACCCCAAATTCAGCTTGCACTATGGCCTGACACCTGATTGATTTCGTCTACCTAAGATCAAAGTCACAACGTGGGTAGGTTAGACTTGAGATCAAAGCAGTTACTTCGGTAACCAGATGTTGGAAGTGAGCTGGGAACAACAATTTGATATCAAACCGGGAACGACCAGATCGACTGGGACACAGGCTGGTGACAGCGATAACGAGTCAACCCCAAACTCTGGTGGAAGAAACCTTACAGCTTCGCGCTGCAACTGGGAGTTGACCACGGGCTGACGGTGCAGTGTCATATGTTGATGTTGCGACTAGTGGACGTCACATATTGGCACTGGACTGAAACCATGACCGCAACCACCAGTGGGTGTCACATTATTCTAATATCCATCCCAAAGGCAGTTTTAACAGATCTTTGTGGTGTACTTATTAAATACCTTTGCATAATCATATAAAACACGTCCTGCATTTGTATTGCTCTTTCTGATAACATTCTGAGTATAAATATCACATTCCTTGTTCCAGTGTCTTTCATGAACCTTCACTGTTCTTGTCCTATTTCCAGTCTGATTCTGCTGTATACGCTAGTCATCAGAATTTGGATAAGCTTGGTTATATACCTCATTAGTCTGATAAACTGATGGATTGGCAGTGCTACGAAAATATATCTAAAGTCTTCTGGTATATCGCCACCATTGTATCCTTGAATGATATGCATCCTCTTGATGAGCATGTCTTTTGTCCGGTTTTCTTATGTTTTTTTTGTATATTTGTTTTATCTGTGATACTGCACAATTTTTGTTAAGCCATACCTCTTTAACCTTCCTGCATTTGTTCCTTATTTCTTTTTGTAGTGACATTCTATTCAATATTCTTAGGATTGTTTTTGTCTCCTTTTCATCATGTTGAGTATTCCATCTGTAATCCATTCATTTTTTTTTCTTTTTCTATCTTTTGGGATGATCTTAATTGTTGATGTTACTAAAGCTTCTCTTAATGTGTCCCACTTCAAGTTTCCATTTTCTTTTTGTCTCCCGTATGTGCTTTTCACAATGTCCGTATATTTCTCCTTTGGATTGTTCAAGAGTATTGTATTTCAATTTCAGCCAGTTTGATTTTTTTTGTTTCTCTTCCAGTGCCCATCCATGTTCATATTCATCTTGGATGTTCTTGAAACCAGGTGTTGGCCACGACCTGGCCATACACCATTGTTTCTATTTTTCTCTGCATTCATTATGGATTCCTAGTCCGAATTTGCTATTTCACCATCCCTCTTGTTGCCTACTTTGGCATTCAGGACCCCCATGATAATTATAATTTATTGCAAATTGCACTGAGCCATGGCATTGTCTAGAGTAGACCTTTTCAATTTCTTCTGCATTTTGTACTGTCAGTGCATACACAACTATGATGAATCTGTTGAAAGGCATTCCTTTCAGCTTAACAATAATTCTTTCAGATAATTGACAGTATTCCAGAACACATTTCTTCATGTTTTGGTTTAGTATCAAACCTACTTATCTCTCATTTTTCTCTCTGCCTACATATATAATCCTGTGTTTAAAAACACAAAATCTCCATTCTTTGCCCACCTCATTTCACATATGCCTAAAATATTGACATTTAACCTGCTCACTTCCTGTTTTATATTTTCCAACTGGTCACAGTGGTTTAATGTTCTAATATTCCATGTCCCAAGAATTATATTTTTGTTTAATGTAAACAGTCGCAGAATGGCAGTCAAGTGACAGCTGTCACTCATGTCTCCCTTTACTGAGCAAAGAATCAATTCCAAGAAATTTGGCCCCTTTACACTCTTTAGGGTGTCAGAAATCGAGAAAGCCACATATTGCTTGTCTATTTTTTTTAAACTGATATTTTTGTTGTTAATCAGCTTAATTCTAAATGAAAGTGATGATCAAACTTTCTTCATTATCTTAAGTGTATCTACTTTCCTCAGTTGGTAACTTTCTATCCAGAATCTACATTCTCTATCCTCTTCAGATATTTAACATTTTATTAATCATTTATACTAAAGAGCTGTCTACATTTTGTATCGTGCATACAGTATACAGTGAAAGTAAGCAATACACAGAGTGGCTGTTATTACAAAACAATTAACTTAAATTACTGCTATTGTATTATTAGTGTGAAAACAAAGTTCAACAGAATTTTCTACTAATTTCAGTGTGATTTTTAAAAAAATTTGTTTTCATTAGCTTCAAAAGAAATTAAAGCTTTGAAATTTTCAATGCTGAAACATTAAAAAAAAGAAAAGAAAAAAAAAAGTAATATTTAAAAGTAAAGTTATTTAGAAGAAAAACTTACCATAGAAATGGCCAAAGTTTTTGTGAGCTTAAAAAAAAGAAAAAAGCTTAACTTAAAATTTTCAGAAAAAACAATTAAAAATAAAAAACAAATATAGAGTATTTTTAAAAATAATCAAATTTGAATTTATAATTCGAAAAAAAAAAAAAAAAAAAAAAAAAAGGTTAATTTTAACATTTTTCAGTATTTATAAAGTGAATAGTAATATCCTTATGTAATGTAATACATGATTTGTTTTTGATGATGATATTAAAAAAATGTCTGGCTTGTAGCACTTCACTATTAACATCTTAATGAATTATTCTGAAAATAGGCACTTTTTATATTTTCTTTTTAGAAATCACAACTTGTTTCTACAATAACTTAATTTTGGACAGATCCAAATGTTTGCACAGATTTTATGAGATCAGTGACAACAACCAGATTTAGAATTTTGGCTATTTCTGGAAGATTTATGGCTATTATATAGTGTTAAAAAAGATCTTCACTTGCTAGTGAGGATATGTGTATATATATATATATATATATATATATATATATATATATATATATATATATATATATATATAATTTTCATGCAACAGCATTCTAATTTCAAAAAAATTTTTTGCAAATTATGGAAATTTACCATGTGAATTTCAAGACTTTTTTTTTATAGGCTGTGTATTTTTATAACTGCCAAAATTGAGCAAAATAATAAAATATTTTCATGCTTCTAATCATACATTATATAGCCTTAATTTATAAAACAAAAATGCTTCAAAATTGTTAACATGTTACTAGATCAGTTTTTCCTCCAAAATGATATGTTGGGAAGAAAAATTGATCTTGTAACAGGCTAACTGGAATCACCAGTTAATGTTCTGGCCAGCCTTTTCTTGCTTGATTGAACTGTTTTCTATGGCTTATCAACCCATTGCAGAATATTTAAAGCTAGAAAATATTTTTTGATTGTAAAAATTGTTTTGGGGGAGATTGGTTTAATGATACAAGTCTTACTAATTAACCGATAGCTGGAGGGAGAAGAGGTGGATTCATACCCCCCCCAAGCTATTTGCACATAAATGAATATAATGAACCCAATAGGAATTGCAAGTCTGCTCTCTGATTAATAATTCCAAGCCATTACCCATTAAATCTAAGCTTACAGAACCTGGTATTCCCAAGTGGCCACCCATCTAGTTATTGACCAGGTCTGATGCTGTTTCACTTTGGTGATCATACGGGAAACAGTGTTCCAATGTGATGCTGGCCCACTTTATCTTTAAGGATATCTGATAGGGAATGTCAAGCAGTGCTCAGGTAAATCACAATTCTTCCATTTCTGAATGCAAATGAAGAGTGAAGGAAACTGATTTGAATACTCTACAACAGAAAAAATTTACACAAACAAATCTAGACATTTGGCTTGTATATGACGCTCCCATCAATTTTGATGTATAAAAGCGTAATAGTTCAGTTTGGGAACTGAGCCACCAGATTACCCTCACATATGATTTGGTGAAGGCTTGTGTAAAACCAGACACACATTTTGAAAGAACTGATAACAGAAAAATGATGTTCAGTATATCACAAAGTGTGTGTATGTATATATATAAGTAAATAAAACAGTGTAGACATAGAAATCAACACTGCATGGCAACTTTCAGTTCCCTACTTCAATGTGCTCTTCAGACCAACATGAACAATACCAAATAAGACTACTTGTATAATTTTGCCTTATTTTCCTCAGTTTCCTTAAGTTGTCCCATTACCAGTCATCTCAATTATGGCATTGTCAGTGTATGACCTAATGTTAAACAGAGAAAAAATAAAGTTCATATACAAGCAATGCACTCTAAATTAATGCATTAATTATACAATAAATTACCACAAACTGTATTAAAAAATTATTTCTATAGATTGGAAGCTTCAATAATTTTAGCAGGTTGCCTGATTAGGCAAAATGACAAAATTGCTTCACTCATTATAGGAAATATATCATTAATGACAAATGCATATCAGCTATTTGATAATAGTGCATCATGAGAATAATTAAAAAAAATAAAATCAAAATTTCAAAGTTTGCAAACCTGGTTTTTTATCTCCAGATGTAAATTCATGAGGGAAAGTCTCCTGTAATAAAAGAAGAAAAACAAATTAAGTAAATTCATTGAAACTCTTATAATAAAAGTTTGAGAAGAAAAAAAAATACAATCACAGGTTATTTAATGATATAGAAAAATATTTTTGAAATATGTTCTTGCTTGTGAACCATAAAAATTAAAAATGCGATTTAAAATTGAAGTCATTACAAACTTATACTTACTGTTCCAACTCTGTTGATAGCACAGGTAAAATAACTGTTTGCAATGGCTGCATTTCTGGCTTCAATAGGCCACAAATGTTCACTGGAAAAAATGAAAACAGAAATTTTTTTTTTTTAATGCAAATCTTATTAAAGCATGTACACAGGTTTTATTGAGTACAATTACAAATTAGAAATTAATATAAAAGTCTTGGTACATGCCAATTTTTAAATTAACATTCTTAAGCACTTAATCTTTTTGCAGAATTTTATTTATATAATAAATAGGGGTCTTAAAAAGGGAGATGGAAAATCATTTACAGGGGTAAAATGTGCAAAATTGATAAATGTCTGAGTCTTAATTTTGATGACAGGAAAATTTCGTCAAATAAAAAATAAAAATAATAAACACTCCCCCCTAGTCTAAAAGAGTAATTTAAGCCAAAAGCATTAATCTAATTTTTGTCATGACTACTGGCAGACTGGCCAGGGTATCAGTTTAAATGTTGACAAGTGGGGCCTTGATAGGATGTGGCCCATATATCAAATAAAAATGCAATAAAGAAACAAACACAGACAACTGTTTTAACAATAAAAAGGAATAAAAACTATCAAGTCATCTGCACACTATCTGTTACTAAAGTTCAATGTGAGAGGAGATTTTCAAAGCTAACTACCATAAAGACAAGGTTAAGAAATTTGCAATCTGAAGAGAATTTGAATCAGACATGTTATTCATTGAAAAGAAATTATTAGATGAATTGAATGCAGAAGCAATTATTGGTAGATTCACACAATCATCTAGTGATCACAAATGATTGCTCTTAATATAGTGATTTGCATGCAATGCTCTATTTTGCTTTTGAACTATGTATAAAGTGTTCAGTAAATTATTTAAAAATATCAACCAATTACTTAAAATTAAGAAAACATTAATATTCTGTATTTACATTTGGTTATCTACTGCCAATAATATGTACAGTACATATACACTATAATTACTAAGAAATACACATTTTTTTCCATAAAAATTATAATAGTACCTTTTATTCCATATGTATTATTTTAATTTTATTTATTCATTATAAAAATTAAATCCTAGCATTGTGGGTGCACTCCCACTCCAACCTGTCTCCTGGCAAACCAATATTTTTAGATCTAGTTCACTACTGGTCATGACAATATTCCTCTTTCAAAGTTGGTAGATAATAAGTCATCATTCTAACTTGATATCTATTCAAATATGCCAGCAGTTTCATGCCCTGTTAATTGACAATTATATTGTTGGTATTTTTATAATTTGAGATAATATGCCTGAAACAAATACTAATAAAAAGGGATAACTTTGCAGACAATGATAGAAATATAATGTGTCCATCCTATTAGAGAAAAATAGGATTTAAGACATTCACATAGTAATTTCAAGACAGGACAAAATGAAATATGAAGAATCAATTTTTTGTGATCTACAGACCACTGTAAGAACAAAGCAAATGTAAGAATAGAAATAAGATGACTTTGTTGAAGATAACAAAAATTTTCAAAAGCATGATTAATATTGGAGTTTTGTAGGCCACATGGTTCATACGAAACAAGCCCTGCTTTGTTTTATAGCATAACGACCTCAAAGGGCAAATTCTGCTTGCAATGATTAGTAAAAAATCCATAGTATGATGGTTCAGAAAGAAAATTTGGTTTGTTTTGTTTTACGGCATATCAACCTTAATGGGTTGTTTAATGCCGACAAAATTTTTATTGCGGGTAATATTTTTTCCTACAAAAATCTATTGCAGGTAATATTTTATTTTCTTTCAAATATCTATTGCAAGTAATATTTTTTCTCTTTCAAATATCTATTGCTGGTAATATTTTTTCCAAAAATGTATTGCTGGTAATATTTTGTTTGTAATGATTTTCCTTTAAAAATGTATTGCTGGTAATAATTTTTCCTTCAAAAAAGCATTGCTGGTAATAACTTCTTCAAAACTATATTGCAAGCAATAACTTTTTCTTCAAAAATGTATTCTGGTAATAATTTTTTCCTCAACAATGTATTGCTGTCAATAATTTTTCCTTCATAAACATATTGCTGTTAAAAGTTTTTTCACAAAAATGTATTTCTTGTTATTTTTACACCTCCACAGCAATTTCGACCCCTGTTTGGGGGTTGACTATTTGCTTATAGTTGGGAAACTAAGAGGTGCTACCAACCAGCAATTAAGAGGTGGTTCCACGCTCCTCAAAACCTCCAGATCAGAGACCTTGCTATCAAATGTAGTTTAATGTCTTATCCAGGATGTGGATGTAGTTTATCATCATACCCAGGACAAATTCTCCCCACTTAACTATTTGCCCATAGCTGGGACCCTAACAAGTGCTACCATGTCAGGTCAGGGAGGACCTGGGAACATATACAATTAAGAGGTGGTTCCACACTCCTCAAAACCTCCTTATCGGAGGCCTTGCTGTTGGATGTAGTTTAAAGTCTTACCCAAGTCATGGATATAGTTTATCGTCTCTACCCAGAACACGGATGTAGTTTATCCTCTTACCCAGGATGCCTTGTTGGATGGTGGGGAGTGGGGGGTGGCTTACCCCTCTGCAGTGCTGTAGTTGGCATATTCTGAAGCCCCAGCTGACAGAGCCAAAAGAAAATCTGTATAAGTATTTGTGTATTTCAGCACAACAAAAACTACCCCATTTAATTTTAAATAGGAGCTTATCCACTTATGATAAAGAGAAAAAAAAAAACACCAATAATTGTTAAAGACCACACAAAATACAAAGATATTTTGCCTGTGGAAAATATTTTTTCTTTTATGTTATATTTTTCCCAGTTGTTATTTCTTTCATATTTTATATTTAGCAACACTGTCTGTAGAAAAAATAAATCTTGTCTAATTCAATACCTTAGTTTGACCTCACAAATTCATAGCAATGCAACACAGCTCTGCCTTTTGACAATTCTGATCATGAAGTAATGTTTGTAAATTTCTCCTTGTGCTCTCCCACTAGCCAAGAACCTCCTACCAACAGAATATCTTTGTTATCAATGAGCAGATTGGGACCTGTTTCGTGATTTCCTTCATGACATCCCTTAGAATGAAGTTTTTAATCGACCTGTTCAAAAACGTGCATCTGAGGCCCCTCCTGGGTGAAAGACGGCATCCTACAAGGAAATACCAAGTTAACTGCGTTCATCTCCTTGGTTCTCACCTGCATGCTCGGCCACTATAAGCCATAGGAATCACTTCTGGCTTTACCAGTGTGACATGTTTGATTGCAACAGATGTCTCTTTGTCTCTGCTCATAACAAGTGCAAGCGTGTCCTCAATGAAGTGAAGTTACTGTTTGCTGATAGAATGAAACAACGTATAGCATTTTGTCTGGTTCTAGAGGTTATTAGCGGCTCTGCAAGAGTGTGCAGAACAGCAGCAAATGCTCAATCCCTCCTCTATTCAATTGATTCAAAGTCCTGACATCTACAGCAGAAGGTTGAATGCTTTGCTCAGAGATTCTCTTCCAATTCAACACTCAACTCATCTGGAGAAAGTTAACTTGGCCACTGCTCTTGAAAAGGATTTCCAATCAGTGGTTAACTGGGGCAGGAAATGGCCTATAAATTTTAATGCCACTAAAAGTAAACTGCTCTCATTTAACCACCATAGAGAAACTTCCCTTCCCACCATCTCCTGATGGCGGGCAAGGAAGTTTCTCTATGGTGGTTAAATGAGAATCCAGGAGAGCATCACACTGCGCTTGAAGTGGAACAACTACATTGAATCAATAGCCACATCTACTGCAAGGAAATATGATTCATTTTTCTTGTCAGAGTCCATCTTGCATATTTACAAATCTACCATTTGTCTGTGCATTGAATACTGTTGCCTTATCTGGTCTGGTGCTCCTGCTGTTCATCTTGAAGTTCTTGACAAAATCCAAAGAAGGATCCTCAATGTAATTGATCCTGACTTAGCATCTTGAATTCAGTGACTCTCACAGACCTGATGTAGCTTCCCTCTGTCTTTTCTACAAATATTTTCAAGGCAACTGCTCTGATGAGCTTTTATTCCTGGTGCCCCAGCTACATGAATTTAAGCATGCTACTAGACTGGCATCTAGGTCCCACCCTTTTACTGTTGAAATAGTTAAATGTAACCGCCACTTCTACTCCATCAGTTTCTTTTCTCACATTTCCCAACAGTGAAACTCCCTTCCACTTACTTGCTTCCGAGATAACTACAATCTTCAAAAATTTAAGTGCAATGTCAATTGCCATTTTTTGTTGCCTTGAACTCAATTTCCCCTTATACCTAGTCTTTTCTCTCACTTTCACTCTCTGTAACCACCTGCATATTAGTGGCACTCCCACCTCATTTGGAGTGAAATGATAAAAAAAAAAATCAATATAATGCAATAAAGTTGAATGTAGTCAAATGATAATAAAGTATATAATCAGGTCCTGTGACTTATGTATGTGTGTAACCTGGTTTCGAAACCTGAATATATAAGAATGTGATCTGGTGGGCTGTAAGTGATTTTATCTGAGTCTGAAGTGACTGGTGTTTTATGGCTGTTAGAAAAAATTGAGATGTGGGAACTTAAAAACAAATACCTGCTGTCCACATGTAGGGAAATAAAGTAAACGATTAAATGTAAACTTCCTGAATCAAGTATTGGTCTGTGAATTTGGTAACAGTAATTGTGAGTTCAATCCCTCGGCCAGGAAGTGTACTTGAACTCAGTGGAAACAAGGTAAGCAATAAGTGAGCATTACTAAAATAAAAACTAGACAAGATATCCCTAGACATGGGCAGTGGAATGAAAACAATCTATCCACATAGATTAAATAAATGATTCAGTTAAAAATTTTCTGTAGGTTACCTGGATTGACATAAATCTGATAAAGGCCAGAGAGTACAATGGCTAAAATGTTGTGATAACAACAACAAAGATGAGGACAATAGTCAGCATGTAAAAAGTGTAAATAATAATTCATATAATTTCTGTCTGATTTTCAGGGATGAGGAGTTATATACCAACAGGAGGAAGGTTTGGTTGTGGGTTCACTATTGTCACCAATGATGAACATAAACATGGAATACTTTGAGGAAATGCCTTTAGGAGCAGCACCACTAAAGCAAACAGTGTGTTTCTGATATTTCGATGACACCTTTATACTGTGGTTGTATCAGGAAGCTGTAAAAAATACTGCTGTACCATGTGAACTCAAGAACTTTGATCTAGTTCACAATGGAAGAAGAAAATAATCAGCTGATCATCTCGGATGTACTAAGTTACACAGAAAATGGGTTCAACACAGGGTTACTAATTTTTTAATTTAAATCTGAGTTAAAAAATTTTTTTTCATTTTTTCACAAAGAAAGCAATAGAAAGAGCAAAGTTGATATGAATATCTTGAGAGATTAAGAGGGATAGTATGATAATTTAGGGTTGGCAAATTAATTTTTGGTTATATCTGGCTGAATTTTTCCCAATTTAGTCCTACATCTAAATTATATTTACCATTTTTTTAAGGTATTGGGTGCATCTACATTAAACTTGTCTTTTTTTCACATAAGGTCATGCAACTATATTGTTCTTACAGCATTTTAAAACATGGTGACCATCAGCTATGTGTGATTTGTACATAAATAATCGCAATATTTTTTAATATTTTGCTCGCAACATTGCCAGCCACAGTATTGTTTTTTAAACTTAGATCTGGGTTTTTCAATTCATGTCTGTGTTGCTTTTAACTTTGAAATTTAATGAAATCTGTTTTTTCCAGGTATTGCAGTTTCTCATTTTTATATTACTTAAATCTACTGGGTGCCAAATGCCAGAAATCTGTGCACCACAATGAAAACCACATATCCATCAAAACATAATTTCCCTATCATATACTTTACTGTACAATTTCATAAGCTTGTTCTTTTTTCTTCTGTTTGTAACTTGTGGCACAACTTCCAATCAGGACAACCTTTGCTAAATTATGCCAAAAATTCAAAATAAAATCTTATAAAATTTTCCCAGGAACTATATGTACAAGGCCAAAAGTATGGGGCTAAGTGAGGATTAAACTCACTACTCAGTAGTAATTGATATGGTGAGACAAGCTTGCTAACCATTACATGTCAAAGTGCCCTCCCCAGGAACTATATGATTGAAAAATTCTGATGTGCAATTTTCTTTTTGTGACAGTCACTGTTTTCTGAATGTAGAAAAAAAAAATGTAAGTTTCTTTTAGTTTCTAATTTATATTCATTATATAATGTTTTAATATAAATGTCAAACTGAATAATATATATTAAGCGATTGATAGTGAAAATTTTTAAAACATCTTTTTAAATGGTGATAATTTAAATTAAATGTTAAGTTTCCTACACACATTTCCACTACCACCTATACATTAGTAAAGAGTACAAATATACTTTGCAACAATGTCTAGGTCTCTTTTTACTTTATAAGAAATAAATAACTCATTATGGAAAGTGGGAATAAACATCAAATTTTTATATACATTTAAAAAAAAAAAAAATAAAAAAATAAAAACAAAAAAGTCCAGATAAGAATATTAGTGAAATAATTGGACTTGTTTCGGGGGGGGGGGGGTGTCTTCACTGGAGGTGGTGATACATGAGGAAAAGGAAATTTTTTTTGTTTTTTTTACATAAGGTGAAAAGGGATAAATAGGGGTGTGGTTGAGATGACAGACTAAATACAAAAGAGAAAATGAAATTTTTTTTTTCATAGCAAGAGAAGGAATAGATTTGATTGTATATTGAGGGTAGAGGTAACACAAGAAATCTTCTTATTGGTCAACTACATAATTGAAACAAAAAAAAAAAAAAAAGTCAACAATATCAAAGAAAAAGAAATTTGCAAAGGACATCTGAATTTTCCAAGAAATGTGGAAATATTTGTATTTTGTAATAGGTAAATAGGGTTGCCAAGCATCCTGCAAAATGCAGAATTGCTCCATATTTTGAGAATCAATGATTCTTTTTAAAAATTATATGTGCATTTTGCTTTTTTTAAAAAATGTACTTTAAAAACATGAATGGCTAGAATACATGCAAAATCTTACCTCCCTGCCTACCCCATCTCTCATGTTAACAGGGCCCTCACCATGTACCTCTCCCTCAACATGTAATGGCCTTTTTATGTCCTTGAGTTTGAGACCCCTGGGATATAGTCTAAATAAGAAACTTCATGCTTTTTAGAATCTTGAACCTGTTTTAAGTATCATACCTTAAGAGTGAGAAGTGTCTAAGTGAGAGGTCGGGGAGAAAAAGGAGGTAGTAGCTTACCTCAAATTTCCAACTGTAGCTGATGGATTGAAGACAATTTCCGCTCCATTGATCCCATACATCATCCAGGATTGTGGGTGGTGACGACCATAACAAATATTGATTGCAATTTTACCTAAGAATTTAAAATGTATGTGAAGTATTAAATTAAAAACATTACAAAATGTATACAGAAATGGTGTGGTAGAATAAACAAAAATTGAATAACCCATTTAAATGTTCAAAATTTCCTTTTTGAAAACTGCTATACAAAATTACCATTAATATTTAATTAGCTGTTATTTTCCAATATACAATATTTTTAAAATTTATTTTCAGTCAGTCAAATGCTATATGTGATACATGCTTGGGTAATAATGTCTCTTTTGAGACATGATTGACTAGACAGATTTTCCCACAGTAGGATGGATTCATATCTTTTTCAAAGGTATTTGCATAAAAGGGAATGTAACAAAACTGACTGAAATTTGAACTCGGCTCAACAATTTCTCATTCCAAGCTGATATCTGTTACACCAAAACAAAAATATCTCTTAAGCAAGGTTCTTGACTTTTTGAAGTTGTAGGAATCTTATTTAGCAAAGATAACCAGAGGATGAGGATATGCAGCAACTAAACTTTGCAGGAATGCTAAGAAGATGGATAAAAAACACTTGAATTCTTTATGACTAAAAGTGTGTATTTTGAATTATTTTGAGGCCTTTTCAAATATAACTACTCTGTGTTAGCATATTATATTTTTTATTTTTTTTATTTGTCGAAATTGATATAAAACTTTAGTCAATTTAGACCAGGATGCAATCTATAAGTGGTGGTGTAAGTCATACATCTTTTCAACTATCACTAAAATAAAATACTAAATGTAAATTAAAATACCAAAATAAAGTAACAAAATATTTAACAAGCTTGAATCTGGACAGGGTAAAGATTTTAGTTTTGAGAAGCTGTTAAATGTTAGCAATGACCAAAGTAGAAAAAAAATTAGCACAAATATTGTTAAAACAAATCGTTAGTACATAAGTAGGGACTGCAATTTTTGCCTGAATTTCTGGGGTTAACAATCATCATTATTTACATTATTTATATTCAGAACATTGTTTTTATCTTTTTTTGGCCATTGTGCCCTCCAGTCTACTTCTGGTGGTTATTGATCTGAGTAACCTTAAAGGAACTGAAATCTTTATTTAATCTACATGGATAAATTGTTCTCATTCAGCTGTCCATGTCAACGAATATCTCATCTCATTCTTATCTAATACTGCTCAGTTAGTGTTTTCATTAAGTCTAAATCTGCACTACCCACCCCCAGGATTGAACTTACAATTACTATGGTGAATGTAGTCAAGCATGATAAGCAGAAGCAATGTCATTTGCAGGCAGATTAAGACCTAAGCTCCAAGCTCTAAACTCATTATTGTCCCACAGAACAATAGCTTAGTGGATTAAAGTGTCAGTTTATGAATTTGGTGAATAATTGTGTGTTCAATCACTGAGCTCAGTAGTACAAACTTAGACTCAGTAAAAACAAAGCAAGCAATAACTGAGTGGTGTGACACCGAAACTGTGAGGTGGTTAAACATTAATTCTAAGCAGAAAAAAGGTTAAGTTTAAAATGAAATATACACTGGAAAATTGAGAGATAGAAAGAGAGAATGGAAGACATTTTCTCCGGTAATGCATAAGTGAAGAAAGGGGCACATGAGTTGCCCAACTTCTACAAATTGGAACGATGTACAGAGATTTTATTCTTTTTTTTTTTTATTTATTGAAAATCTGGTATGTGGGCAAAGTAAATTGAGAAATGGCTTTATTTCTTTCTTGGAAAACTAGAAAAACCCATGTCATTGACGAAAAGAGAAGCAGATGTGAAATTATATTTTTGTTAGCAAAAATGAATTGAAAAATGAAAACAGAGAATAAAAGGTTAGGATTATGAAAATCAACCTATCATAACAGGCAGGTGATCTGGTTTATCTTTTTGCTAATATAGTGATTGGCCCAAGGATGGAAAACTGTATCTCTTTATTGAGAATTTAAGAAAATAAATATTTTTTCATTGATAAAAACAAATTGGGAAATAATTTTTATCTATTGCTCAGAAGGCTAAAATGAGAAGGTGATCTGGTTTAATACTGAGAAGGGAGGAAGAAAGGGCAGAATTTAACTCTGCCTGTGTGGAGTAGTGGTGCAAGATGTGAAGTGAAGTAGGTCAGAGTTAAGGGAAGAGCAATCCCTGTGACAACTCCCAAGGAATGTGGGTAATTCTCCAAATTTGGAAAGTTGATTAAGAAAGCAGAAATAGGGAAAAAAGAAAACCTTTATTGGAATTGATGAAAATTAGGGAATCACCAAATTCCCATAACCTACACCAGTTTTGGGCCGAAGTGCATATAGGCAGATGACTTTGGGGAGCTTGAAGACTTTGAGCTGAGTTTCCACAATGAGTGCCTCTGAAATCTATGTCAGATGTCAACGAGATTTCTTGATTCCAAGACTTCAAACTCAGTCACTCCAGAAGTTTAGAAAATGGCAAGTGTCATTATAGAGATTTATGCAGGAAGGGTTAATTTTTGTTGTACCAAGAGCTATATAAACCAATTAAACTAATCTCTAGTTTTATTTTTCATTGTGAAGATATTTTTTTCCTTAATATATCATCTGCCACAGCTTGAACAAGTGCTGCGAGACTACAACATTCAATTTTCTACTGCTCTGAGATCAAGAACACAGCATGGGCAGAGTTGGTGTAGAATGAATCGGCTAGCAACCAACAATCAACTTGGACCAGTGTCAGCATTGACCAGTGCAGAGTTAGCCCTATGGTTAAAATGTCATGCTAATCCTCCAAGGACTGGAACACTAAAACATGGTTACACCACTGGGTGTACGTGGCAGCGAAAAATGTTGTAGTGGTACTAAATAAGGAGACAAGATATTCTTAGACATGGACAGTGGAATGAAAATAATCTACCTCCGTAGATTAAATAAAAGATTCAGTTCAAGATTCCATGACAGTCACCTAGATCAACAAGCACCTAAAGGCTGTAGGACACAACTGCTGAAAAATTATAACATGAAAGATGAAGACAATAATCAAAGTGTAAATAGCAACTGCAATTTTGAAAAAGTTTATAAATATGCTTTTTAATCACAGGATTTTTGCATAAAATTCAAAACCAAAACTTCTTTAGTTCATGCTTAAATCTGAGTCCAAAACAATGAGAAAACTAATGCATTTTGAAAGATATCACTCAATTTGATATTTAATTATTAATATAATTATGCCTTACCCCATTGAGTTTGGAAGATCCTGTGTCCCAAGTTACTCTCCATATAATAGGTAGACTACAAAAAAATAAATGTATACTTTAAAAATTATATGCAAGAATTTTAGTTTGATTACATAAAAATATGAAGATAACATAGAAGGATAAATAAAATGAAATATTACTTGCAAACTCACCTCATTAAAATCTCCCACTCTTGGAATATGGTTTTTGCGAGTTATTCCTATGACTTTTCCACTGTTTGAAATTACAACTGGAAAAATATAAACAGTATTACAGTATATATATATATATATATATATATATATATATATATATATATATACACACACAGGTAAATAAACTTGTCAGAGACATCATTTACTGTAAGTAAATTCTATTACTGATTATATATAAATGTGCCTTTTAGAATTTATATTGCTATGTAATCCCAATCAAAATTCTGAAATTAAACTTTTCAAATTTGGATTACTTTGAGAAAGAAAATAAATGTACAAGCAAAATTTTATGAGAATTTATGAAGAACAAAATTTCAATATATGATTACTTCTTCAACAAAAATAAAATGAAATCTGGTCATTGTTAGATCTTACTATAATTCACTAAATTTTCTACAGTTACTAATGGGACATTTGAAACTGTTTTTAGAATATTACCTTTTAAAAATTCCAAATAGCAAAGTTTTCAGTGAGAGGTTTGGTTTACAATGTAAATATAATACTAAACTGGTGCTTTACTTTGTCTCCACCAGGTTAGTGAAACCAATCATTTATCTTTTTATTTAAATATACAGGTAGACATCTAGGTGAAAATTTCTCAGTTAAACCAAAGCTATGACCATATATTTTTAAACATTACTTTCTTTTCGTATTTCCCCTCCCAGTCACCAGAACATCAAGACTTACGTGTTTAAATTTGTAGAAGTAATATTGAAATTATTACCAGTCTTTCAGAGTACCCCCTCCCTTTGATTGGGGGTTGTGTGGCTTGACATTGTTACGATCCCTGTGACTGGCTGAAAAGGAACAAATCAGAAGGCCCCTTACTAAAGCTGCCTCATCCTGGTCTGTGTGCTTTGTTTGAATCTTTCTTTCTCTTTCCTATGTTGGCTTTCAATAGAGGTGGGATGTACAAAGCAGATTTTGGGGTGTACCCTCAAATTTCAGTTTGCGATTTTCCCTTCCTTGTATCCTAAATTGACTGAAAAATTGCTTAAAAGTGATAAAAATTAATTTTCAATCAGTAGCCAGCTGAAAAACAGAATTTGTCAATACAACTGTCAAAAACTGTCCTAAAATAGAGCAAATTGCATGTTTTGTCAAGAAAAGGTCTCCAAACAGCTATTAAAAGTCAATTAAATTGATGCAAACCCAGAAAATAAGACCATGCAGTATATATTGGATGAGGTTGATGTGTCTCAGAGGTTAAAATGAGTATAAAAACACAAAAATAGCCAAAAAAATCACCCCCAAATCAGCAGAATGGTATCTTAACATGTGCTCTGTATGAGTGACGTTGAAATTCCTGATGAATTTATATAATTTTGTTGCATTACCTGACACAAAATGATCAGCTTGAGTGCTTTTGAAGTCCAATGACTCAACAAAGGCACAAAAATATACCTAAATGAGCTTAATTTCACAAATTTTAGGGTTTGATGCAAATGTAACCATAAAATTATGCAAGCACAAATGAAGATACAAAAAATGGGGTTGCTTTTGTAAGTGTTGTTGCATTAAAAACTTGAAAGAAAATTTGGTCTAGTTTCAAAAGAAATGAAAGAATCATTTTATTAGCAGAGTTGATTAATAGGTGTCACAGGAACATCTCAGACAGAAAATATAATAAGGTATGTGAAAGCACATTTATTAAGTGTAAACATAACCTGTTTACATATCAATTAACTTTTGAAAGGTATTGTCAATAGTTTTGCAGTTGAAGGAAACAAACGTATGTTGGTGTCCCACTCTCTTTCTATTCTGCAAGGAAGTATTTAATCAGGGGCAACTTGCTAAATATCAGTGTTAGCTGGGTATTGCTAATAATCGTCCTAATCTTTCATTACTCTTTGCAAGTGCTCAACTCTAACGAGATTATTATCCAGCGGTTTATTAACGTTGCCAATGTACCAGGTGACAAGCTTTTGCTCCTGCCAGACCACCACACATATTTCATTTACATTAATCTCATATTGTTGTGGGTTCTCAGTCAAAATTTTGGTATTGACAGGTATTTCCAATGGTTTCAAAATATCATTGTTTGATGGTATGTCCACAGCGCTTGAAGATGTGGAGATTGTCATTCAGCATTCATCTTTCAACAGTACACATAAATTCTCATATTTTCCTCATGAGTCACTCCACGGAGTCAAAACAATTCAGGTGTTGTAATCATGTCAGAATTATGTGTGTACCAATAGTAAGCAAGTTCAGTTGTCATTATCTTTTCTCTGGGTGGAATTTTATCACCACTTCAATTTGAGCAAAAGTTGAGCATGACCCACCCTGTGATTTGCAAGCTTTGAGTAAATTCATGATATAATCCTGCTCTTTATTTCATTTTGCTATCTTTGTTTTTCTTGCAAAAGAATCTTTTGATTGTGTGTCCATTTTTTTTCTCTGTCTTCTAAAACAGTATGGACTTGATTGCAGTTTGATCTGCTTGATGGAAAGTCATGTCAGTCTGTATTCACTTTGCCTTGGAAAATTTGTTTCTGAATTTTGCAACAACTGCTAAGTGGCTGCATTTACTTAAATCTTGTTTGCAAAGTTGTTTGTTGGCATGCCAAACAATTGATTGCTGGTGAGGCGAAAAAGTTCAGTAGCAACACATGGTTTCATATCTTTAGTTGCAAACCCATATTGCAGCACATGAGAAATATTATTTCTTTCTCCAAAATAGAACTTAGTGCTTTGACAACAACATGGCAGTATTTAACAAGTGTATTCATTCTACCCTCAATGTCTATCAAATCTGTCTGCTTATTGATTTCCACAAAGTAGAGAAATGGTAGAATTACCATGTATGTAAAGGGTGGGGCATGTCATCTGCATGAAGGAGCACCACTTGCCAAGACATCTGCTGTACAGAGAGCTTCTGCACAGCAAGAGTAACCAAGGCCATCCAAAGAAGCTGTACAAAGACACTGCGAAAGCAAATCTCCAAGGGTGCAAGCACAAACTCAAAGAACTAGAGGAGCGTGCTAGTGATCGACCAACGTTGGCGAATCACAATTCATGATGCTGCTATGACCTTTGAAGATGCTTGACGCCAGAAGCTCACTGCCACAGAGCATCATCAGCAGTGATTGTGACAACAGGCTTTCAGTGACCCCACTGTTCCAGACTCTGCGCTTCCAGGTTGGGGTTGTGGAGCCACAGATTATATATATATATATATATATATATATATATATATATAGTACCCAAAATGTTTTAACTTGATAATGAAAAACTCACTTTCAAGATACAATTTGCAGGACTCAACAAGAAGATTGCTTTTGTCTGCCTCATTCAATAACATCTCCAACAATGACAAGACATGCAATACACAATTGAAGCAGACATGCCAAACTGTAGTAAATCTGGACTCTGTATAAAGTGATGCATGTTTAGTTTGACCTTCTTGCTTGACAATGTAATCAAATTTTTCAGCAAGAGAGCATGAATTTGCCGATTTGTCATATGTCACCAGTTTCAAAATAGTCGTGATGCCACTCAGCACAGTTGCTTTCTTACCCGTGAAAAATGGCTTCAATGTAGGATTTATAGCCACCATTTTCTCTTGTAGATCAACTTTGGTTTTAATGGAAGCTAACACATCAATATCAGAGTTGTCGAGCTTCTCAACCATATGACTCTTACACAATAGATGGTTGGGCTTATGATCAGATTTCATTATCTCAGCAACTAAACTGACTTCTTCCAAATTCTTGCTGACACTATCAGTCAAGTAGTGATCTGTCTTTTCCCAAAGTAATTTTGACGTGATCACTTGGCCATAGTGAACAGACACTGAGTCTGCAAGTTGGCTATATGTTTCAACTATGAGATCAGCAATATTTTTCCTGTCTTCATACGCAAAGAAGTGTAAGTGATCTGGGATAGCAAAGGAAATGTTTGTCGCAGATTACTTCCACAACACAGATAATAAATCACTAAGTTCAGACTCGAACATCGGGGGGCAGAAAGAAATGCTGAAAACTCGATTCACAGGTACTATCTCACAAAACCTAATGCACGCAACCAGCCAGAAAAATATCTCACTCTCCAACAAATGCGGTAGCCAAAATACCCGAATTTCTTCTCTCGATTTAAGAACACCAACTGCTTTTATCGGCTGAACATTTTTTCCATTCGTTGACAGCTTGGAGGGGATGTTCAGTATTTTGCATATCAATACTTTTATAGCGACTCCTGCAACAGACTTGTTTTTTTTTTTAATTCAAATATTCCATCTTCAGCATGTCATGCGGAATATGTGCCCTTTTGTTTGGTAAGTAATTTTCTTTTTTGCCAAATTTTCCATCGTAGAACACACGCGACTCGCTGTCGCTTGGTTTGATGAGGTAAGTCGTCATTTTCTTCGCTGTAAGAAGATTGGATGCAAACAGAAGCAATGTTGGATGCTAAAGGGCAAGACTAGACTTATCCATTCACCATCAATATTGTTTCAGTTAGTACTGTCATAATGTAAAGTTACAGTCTCTTCAATAGGTTTACCATGCATGGCAATAGCAGCATCTCGCTCTTCTTGGGAAGATTGCAGGTGCTTGTAGTTAATAACTTTTGTGAAGGGAGAACAAAACCGTACTTTTGGTACTCTTTGGATGAGTTTTTGAAGCCCTTCTCATTACAAATCTGCTTTCTGACTGGCGCATAGTTTTCTGAAATTTCACCACTTTCATCAACAACTAAGTCAAAATGTGTCAGTGGCAGGCTCACTCGCTTCTTGCTCTTGGCATTTCAGATAGTAGCTGTGAATATACAATGTCTTATATGTGATCTGTACAGCTAGACAGGCCTTCTCAATGGAAATCTCACACACACTTGTTGCACAAGTTGCCTTCATTTCATCTGTGAAATTTCACACCTTCATCTCTCATAAAAATATCAGTTTGAACTTCCTGGTCTTCAGTCAACAAAGTCTGTGTTTTTCTGGATCTGTTTCCACTTATATTCATCAGCATAGCTGCATCCTCTTTCATTGTACTATTCATGGCAACCTCATCGTTAAAAACCATAGACACCTCAG